TGCCCATGTATCTTGGTTGTTTCCAAACCTCGGCTTGCCTAGCTCGTCAAGCCTAATCCAAGTATCAATAAATAACATTTGCCTTGTATGGCCCACAAAAGGACCACACTCCCATTGACTTTATGTTCCACTCTATAAAAAGCTCATACAAGCTCTCCTAAGGTCTTTAAAAGGCCACATAAACCTAACATTTTAAGTGCTGTATAAAATGCGTTATTCATTACGTTTCTTGAAGTACCGTAATTCGTTCTTCACACTAATACGACTGCCATGAAGGTTATTTTGATAAAAAAAAGCCTAAAATTGAACAAAAAATGTATGGACAAGGTTTATGATTTTTTTTTTTTTTCAATTAGGCGAAAATTAAGGTATGTTTATGATAATTTCCCTAAAAAGTTTATAAGTTTGTTTGAGATTTGTATAAATTTGATGAGGCTCACCTCCAAATGATTCCGAAAGATGATGGAAAATCCTTGTGATAGTATAAAATAAAACTTCAAAAATATTGTAGATCTAGATCTACAAATACTTGAAAATCTTGAAAATAAAAAATTCAGATATAATACATTACAAGATGCATTATTTATAGGATTTGAAATCTTTTTTTTTTTTTTTTGTTTTTTTCAAATGCATATATCTCAAGGCCGTCTTTCTTCTACAGTTATATATATTTTAAAAAAAGTTGATACCTTATATAAACTTTTCCTCATAATTTTTCCTTGAGTAATGATCTTATGAAACCCTCCTACACCTATGTGTGTAGGCCCCCAAAGGATCACCATTAAATTTAGCACAGATCTCTAGAAAAATCAAGTCCCATACTATAGGACCCAAAGGATCGCTGTTAAATTTGGCACATATCCGTAGAAAAGTTACCACACTCATGTGATAACTTTTATAGAGATCTGCGTCAAATTTAATGGTGATCTTTTGGAGTCTTACACACATGGGTGTGGGAGGGTCTCATAGGATCATTACTCTTTTTCTTTTTTTTAATTTTACATATTGTTTATTCTCTCCAAAGTTGCAAGGGTAAATATTTTTTCAAGGGCAACTCCCTGTAATTGGTACTTTCTCTTCCGAGTTCATTTTTCTGTCTAAAACTCTTTTTTTTTTTCTTAATTGTGTCATTTCTCTATCGAATCATGTATTTTTTTTCTCTCTCTCTCTAACTCCTACATCTAAGTGTATCTTTTTTTCTTCTCTATGTTATTATCGTCAAAACTTTTCTCAACTAATTGAGATCGATGTTTTTTTTTGTTCTTCTCTACATGTTCTCTCTAAATGTGACCTTTCTCTCCCTCTAAACTCATTTCTCTCCCTAAAACTCTTCTTTCTAACTATGTCTTTTCTTTCTTAACTCCTTTCTCTTTGGTGAGCTGTCCTTTCTTTCTCTCTCTTACATGTCTGAAGCAAAGACCAATACAAAACATGGAGTTGATGTTTCATTGAAAATGGAAAAGTTTTTATTTGTATAGTGCCAAAAAGAAGCTCTGGTCTCATATCTTTTGTTAATTTTAAATTATCTTTGTTTCTTCCTTTTGAACTTTGAATTATTTATTTTTCCTTTTTACATTATTTGGTTATTTCATTTCTTTTTACATTTGTCTATCCTTTCTATGACATTTTGAATTCTAAGGTTTTTTCTTTCTATGACATTTTGAATTCTAAGGTTTTTTAGAGAGAAAAAGAAACTGCACAACCTCACTCCAATTCAGAGAGAGAGAAAGAGAGATCTCACACCATTGCTCAATTGAGAATCAAAAGTGAAGCATCCACCATGCATTTAAAATAAGCCTCAACTTTACTTACCACTGATCATTAGAATCAAGTTAAGAACCTGGATTGGTCAGGTGTACAAACCATTTAAGAAACTTTTCTAGATTGGCAATCCAACAGATATAATCAGCCCACAAAAACTAAAAAACTAGAAAAATATAATTAAACTAGGTCCCTAGTTCCCTCACATTACCGGTTGGTTCTCTCGAAGAACAGGTCAGTTCTAGTAGGAATCACCCAATTCCCCATACTGTGATGTGTCGAGGACCAATACCAGTTCCCAACAATTTCTATGTCGGCTCAGACAATTCCAATCTGAGCCTGCGATTTTTAAATAATTGTTTAGGACTTAGGGTTGAGGAATGATCATTTTTCTAATGCCTATGTTATGGTCACAATTAATATTGACATAATAGAAGCTAATGATTCTAAGGATGAATTATACTAATGATCCATGAATATAACAATAGTATTTCATTGCTACAAATATGGATCATTGAATTTGAAAAGACTAAAACAAGTTATTTGGATATTTCTCTTCAACTCCTAGGTATTATTTATCTTATATTACACAAATGGTTGAAGTATATCTTTGAAAGAGAAGATGCTTTAAAGAGTGAATGACTTGATTGGGCTGTGAAGTTATGATTTTATTTGCTACAATTCACAATCTATTGTATATCTGCTTCTTTGTGGAGATAATATATTTTGGGGGAATTTCTCAATCTTATATTTTAGGTACCACTTAAAAATCACTAGATGATTATCTTCAAAAGAGAAATTTTGAACTAAAAAGCTTTTTTTACACTCAGCTCTCATCTTAAAAAATTTGACATTCGCCATTCGGTCTCGAGACACGATTTTCTTCGAGTGCAAAGACAAGTGCAACTTGAAATTTTTATTGAGACTAATCTATTGGTTGAAGAGGTTATATCCCCAAAACCCAATATCTTAGGATGGGTTTTTCCCAAAGGAGTACATGAAGAATGTAATCCCACGAGAGCACAAAATATTTTGGGTTTTTTAATAGAGCAATGATCCAATAGTACCCTCTCCAAACCATGGACGTAGGACCCCAGAGGATCACCATTAAAGTTAGTACGGATCTCTAGAAAAGTTATCACATGAGTATGAGACTTGACTTTTTTATAGATTCGTGCCAAATTTAATGATGATCGTTTGGGGTTCTACATACATGGGTGGGGGAGGGTCTTATAGAATCATTTATCTTTTCAATGTAGTATTATATGTCTCATCTTAAATTAGAAAGGAAAATTGTTTCATGTGGGCTAGACCGCATTTCTACAATATGCGATCCAGAGGTATTAAGAATCCATCTTCAAAGGTAGATGCAAATAGGTAGTCCATCTAAAAACAAGTGCAACTAACGGGCCAAATGTTTTCTTAATATAACTATTATTTTTAGTTTTCAAATTTTTTGTTTGTTTCATATTCATGATCTCCATGTTAAAAATTATATATTATCTAAAAATTAAGATCAAATTATTTTTTAAAAATATTTTTTTTTCAAGCCCGCATTTCTACATTATGCGGGCTGACCTCATAGAAACCATGCCCAATTGGAAAAGTGCAGCATGCATCGGGAACGCAATTTCACATATGAGTACCCCCCTACGTATCAACTATATATATATATATATATATATATATATATATATTGGGTAATTCAGTAGAGAAGACAGGCCCCTACCCGATTTTTTCAATAGATTAGGGAGTTACATTTTGAAGGTGTTAATTGGGGGTGTCAGCGGTAAATAGATACCACGATATGGTAACTGGGTGTGGGGATACTACCATCACGACCCCAGCCTCTTTCCTATCGAACGTCTATCTTAAAGATGGAAGTGGAAATGTTGTGTCCCTTTGAGATTTGATATAAATGGCACTAAAAATATGTCAAAAAAAACTATTTACTATTTTTAAAAAGATATATATTTTATATGAAATGGTTTGATAACGCTACATCCTTATCAAAATAAGGAAAAACTCATCAAAAATTGCTATTCAAGTGTTGAAAAATCTTTAGATCAATCACCTCACCTTGAACATTTTGGTTGTGCAAAAAAAAGTCGGTTGTTCAAATTTTAAAAATAATGTATATTGCAACAAATCATCTAGACCATTTACTTCGCCCTAACAATAAGTGTTCACAGATCCATAAGATCTATACCATTTTTTTAGTTTCAAATTTTATTACAGGTGATGAAAATTAATTTTAGAGCCACCATGAAGATATCCGATGCTAAAAGTGCTTTCTAAATGATGATTTGAGGTGATACTTTGTTTTGTTTACATAAAGCCTAGGCCCTATAGAAACTCATCCTTTTTTATGTTCATGTTCACCATGTTCGAGATCCTTAAAGGGAAATTGTTTCATGTGGGCTGAACAGCATGACTACATATGCGGTTCAAAAAGTGCAAAGCATCCATCTTAAAGATGGATGAAAGTAGGTGTTCCATTTAAAAACAATGGAAACTAACGGTCCAAATGTTTTTTTACTAGAATTATTATTTTAATTTTTAAAATTTACTTGTTTTTTTATATTCATGATTTCCATGTTAGAGATTACATGTTCTTAAAAACTAAGTACAAAAATCCATCTCAAAAATAGATTTATTAATAGGCCCGCATTTCTACATATGCGGGCTTGGCCGTATAGAAACCAAGTCCATTATTAAATCTTTAATTTTTGAACAAATCTTTAATTTTTTAACACAATTTCTATGAGTCTATGTAGAAATGAGTCACCTCTTAAAAATCTATTTTGAGATGTATTTTTGGACTTAATTTTTAAGGACATGTAAGCTCTAACATAGAGATCATGAATATGATTTTTTTTTATATTAAAAATAACAATTCTATTAAGAAAATATTTGGATCGATAGATAGTTTCAATTGTTTTTAAATAGACCACTTATTTGCATCTATCTTTAATATGGATGCTTTATACTACGGGAACCTCAAATATAGAAACACGGTCTTGTGGCATGAAACAATTTTCCTTAAGAAATCTATCTATAATCTAAATTGGATTTTGGAAAGAGGACTCATGTAAATAAAAGTGAGGTGGCGAACTCACCAAAACCTTGATACCTAAATTTCCACTTCTCGTGGACCTAAAAACTTGGTCGGGAAGTTTACTAAAAAATGGGAAATAATTTACAATTTACCAATACTGAGCTCACCACTGGTTGGACCCATCAATAAATCTCTCTCTCTAAAAATTGCAGCACTCATTTCTAGAGAGAGAGAGAGTACTGCTACTCTCCTCTGCTTTTTGCAGAGAAAGGGGGAGAGAGAGAGAGTTCTTCCGTGACACCTCTCTTTCCTCAACATCTTTTTGATTTCCCTCGACATCTTTTTCCTAGAGAGAGAGGGTCTTCTTATATTCTTCTCTAATTCAGAGAGAGAGAGAGAGAGATATCTGTGAAAGCATTTTGGGGCAGTCATGGATCTGCTACCTGCGGAGATTGCTTCAATCACACGCCGGCATGGTTTCAGGTCTCTGAAACTATTGAACGTGCATATGGATGAAGCTCTATCAGAGGAGCCTTATGGGGTTGAGTATGGGAGCCTCGACAATGGCCTCCATTACTATGTTCGCGTTAACTCGAAGCCTCGCATGAGGGCAGCTCTCGCACTTGGAGTCAAAGTAGGGTAAGATTAACAAAACCTCTCTCTAGTTGGGTTCTTGGAAGTCTTTTTCCCCTTAAAGAATAGTTATCTTACTCTCAATCTCTGTCTTCTCGTCCATGTATTGCGTATTTAGTTTTATTCCATCAAAATTATGGGTTTCATTCTTCTATCTATATCTATGTTCCAGTGAAATATTTGTGCCATTCTCTCTCATCAATTTTTGGTTTTTTTGGGATCTTTTAATTCCTTACTTTCCTTCCCTTATCTGTTCCTGTAAAATATTTGTGCAATTCTCTCTCATTAAAATTTGTTTTTTTGTGATCTTTTAATTCCTTACTTTCATTCCTTCCCTTGTTGAAAGTTTTGTTTCTTCTTCTGGAACTTATTACCCCTTCAATGTTTTGCTATATATATATATATATATATATATATATGGACGCGGTTGGCATGCAGCCTACCCCGCACATGTAGAAATGCGGGCTTGGCAATAACTATATTTTAATATTTTTTTAGACATAATTTGATCCTGAATTTTAGAGAATACATAATCTGTAACATGGAGATCATGAATATGAATTCTTTTTTGGAAAACTAGAAAGAATATATATATATATATATATATATCTTCTCTTTCTCTCTATCGAGAGAGAGAGAGAGATTGACTTTTTAGTATGCAATGTATAGCTCTGATTGGTAACTTGAATGTCTGTCCATTATCCTCATCAATCCTTGTCATTGCGACCTCATTCTTCTTATTTATCTTTATTTTTAATGCTATTTAATTATGAATTTGTCATTCAAACAAGGTGGTGGATGCACAAATCATTATTATAGGAACAAGGAGAAGAATGTTGGCTTTTAGTATTTTACTTCTCTGTTTGTGTTCTTTTCAAACAATGATGATTCTGATGTCTTGTTTAGTAGTATCTTCTTGGGTTAATTTTTTTGGTAAGTGAGGAATTGATTTCTTTCTTTCAAAAAATGTTGCGAGCACTGGAAAAGTTGTCTCATTGGCTTGGTTAGGACTTGGACGTATTTAGGGCTAGTAGCCCAGTTATTGATAAAATTCAAGGAAATGAAAGTTATTATAAAACTTTTTTCTACTGATAAAAGGAAAAAAATGAGGATGAAGGTGGAGCACGAACCGAAAAAGAGAAAAAGATGAAGGATGGAGTAAAGTTAAATCCACTTGTTGATAGATAAACATGGGCCTATTAAATCCATATAGTTACAATTTTTGTATTAAGGATATTGAAAATTTTTGGTCATAGGAATGTGGATGAACTTCATATCATTTGGGTCAGATATTGTTATCAGTTTGGGCTAGTTATAGTTATTGACTTCTTTGTGTTGTGCTAGTTCATGCATGAACGAATAAATCAGGGATTTGGGTATGATTATTCCTTTGGTATTGATGTCATTTATTTTGGTAGGGATTTTTCTTTTATCAGCAAATATTTGGTATTGATGTCATTTATTTAGTAGGGATTTTTCTTTTTATGAGCAAATATTTGGGATTAATAGATATATGCCAACTGTAGTAAGAATAGGATGCACACAAAACAAAAGTAGATGACAGGTATTCAGTCCAATATTGGCTGAATTTTCATTCAAACTCTTTTTTCCAAAATGATGGTTTAATCACATCAAATCTTCACTAGAAGTACTGTTGATTGAAGTTTGGAATCGAACAATTCAGTTTGAACAAAAATCTGAGCTGATGCTTAGCTGAATTTCAGTTGGAGGTTGGTTTTACTGCCTTTGAAATTAACATTTAGTAAGACGTATTTTCAGGTAATATGTAACCATACATTACCCTCAGGCTGTTATCTTAGTCTTCTCTAAAGCTTATTGTATTAGTAGTCAATCATGGGTTTTTTAGTCATTTTCAAGCTCTTTGGAGTTCCAATGAGAAGCTTCTTTTGGTGTATTTGGAAATGCAGACACTTGTCTCTAGATCTTGCGTGGAAGTGTCCACAATGGCGTTAAGCCAAGACCTACAATTTCCTTGGAGAATAGGTTTTCAATGTATAGGATACATGTATACATATCCTTGTCTACTATATTTTTGATGTATGGAATGTTCAAAATTGGCACAGAATCCAGTTGCAGAGGTTCACTAGGTTTTTGGTTTACACAGCTTTGAAGCATTTAATATTATATTTTGAACCATACCAGAAAATGTCCCTTATATAAAATTGATATTACAGAATCTCGATGATAGCAAGTTTACATGTTGTGGATAGATTATAGAAGTTCTTCCCCTGGAAGACAATGTAATAAGACAGATACAATAGCATACTTACCTCTACTGGACTCTTCTTTATGATCTGTCTCCTCAAAATTTATGTAATTCAGAACGAGGATCTCTCTTTTTTCATGGAGTCTCAAAAGCTAAAGTCCATGAGATAATCAAATTGCAGATTACGAGAATCAAATTGCAGATTATCACTCTATCTGACTCCAAACTAAGTCTCTTCTTGGTGAATTCCTCACTTTTTGCTCCTTCAAGATGCCCTAGATCTATTAGGGAAGCTCACCTCCAATACAGTGTACCCTCTGGATGAAGGAAGTAGTGAGAGGTTCAAACAATATAGGAGTTGCTTGACTGAAGAGGACATCACCCAAATTACACCCTTAGATGTCTAGGAAGAAGAAATGCAGTTTATAAAGTAATGATCATTTCTTTTGCTTCTTGACACATAACATACATTAGGGGCATCAAGGCTCCAATGTTATAGATGGCCCGCATAAGACCCTTATTCTAAGGTTTTACCCTGCGAAAGAACATGATCCTCTGTGATTAAGGAAATTTTCTGAATAATACACATCTAAGATTTCTTAGAAACTCTAAATAAACTCTTTTTCAAAATGATCTGACAGATTAGTGTCCACCAGGTTTGGATAATCATCCCAACCTTTTGACCCACTAATAGGCAGTGTTTCAAAAAGCACTAGGCGGCACCTAGGCTGTCGGGGGGTCTTAAGCCGCCCAGCGCCTAGGCGGTTGCCCAGAACCTGGGTTGCCCAGTAGAATTTTTTTTTTGTTTTTCTCTCTCCAAAATAGGCTCTAATGGGTTTAGGTTTCAAATGAATTTGAAACCTAAACCCACAATTTTATACCTTTAGTATTAAAAAAATGACCAAAAAATACCATCAATGAGAGGCATTTCCGCCCCTGAGCGGCTGCCTAGGCGGGTTTCCGGGCGCGTAGGTAGGCTCCCAAGGATATCCACTTTTTTTGGGCGTCTAGGCCTGGGCAATGTGCCCGGGCCCCCAGAACCGCCTTGGCGGCCACTCAGACGTTGAGCGGTTCGCTTTTTGAAACACTGCTAATAGGGATATAAGTATATTTAAAGCGTGTTTGGATGATGTGTGATTTGCGGATAGTGCAACTTTACACGTCGTCCCCACATGATATGTTGTTTGGTGGGTGTTCAATATCTACCACATATTGGTCCTGTTCGCTATAGCAAGACCACAAAAAAGGTGTTTGCCCTTAGATTGAGGAGGGCATGCCTCATCAGGAGTTTGCAAAGACAAAATTCTTAATCCCAACTGGTCCTTCTAGAGAGTGGGCACCACACTACCATCTTGGTCCCCTCACTTCTCTTTGAGCAATCTTGACTAAGACAGCCGGTTTTGAGTACAAGACCACGAGGCCCAGTATAGCCCACTTGCAGTGAAGTCTCCCAACTAAGTTCTGACCAAAATCTGAATCTCTCGCTGTCACCTTCCCTAAACCTAATCCAATACCCAGACTCTGACTTTATTGAGTAAATACGCTTCCAAACAGTGGGGTACCTAGATGACGTACATAACTCTTAGTCACCTCACCCATATCTACCAATATCATGTTATCTTTGAAAACCCTAACCCAAAGATAATGCTTATCAACTGAAAACTGGTAACACCACTTGCCAAGCAAGTCCTTGTTAACCATCTGATAAGAAATGATTTGTGTTTCTTCAGCTTTTTTGCTACCCTGACAAGAATACTAAAGAGGACGTGGGATAGATGTGGATACTTCTTTGGGCTCACTTATTCAAAGGCTTTAGGGTCATAATCTTCTTATTGTTCTTTTGATGATTGGGTTCCAATATACCCCCATGGTGAACTAAAGCATGACATAATCCTAAGTATGTCCCTGGTAATGAATCCACTTTACATCACAACTCAATTCAATATGCTCCATGAACTTTAATGGTACTCCAATTCTAGAGTCTGAAATCTTGGATGGGTTGATTTGTTATCTCTGGCCCAGTCCAAACCATCTAATGACCATATTGTCAACTGCAGAATAAGGTGTTCCATCTGTATAGAGGGCATCTTATTGCTCTTTTGATGATTGGGTTCCAATATACCGCCATGGTTAACCGAAGCATGATGTTATGCTAAGTGTGGCCTTGGTAATGAATCCACTTCACTTCGCAATTCAATTCAATATGCTCCATGAACTTTAATGATACTCTAGTGCTAGAGTCTGAAATCTTGAAAGATTGATATATTATCTCTGGACTAGTCCAAACCATCCAATGACCATATTGTCAACTGCAGAATAAGATGTTCCATCTGTATAGAGGGCATTTTGGTTGTTATTCGACGATCTATTGAACTCCACAGGCCGTTTTAATCTCACCAAATGTATTTGGTTGTCTTTAATTGATGTTGCATATTGCAATGCATACATATAACGAAGTTATATTTCATGGAGCAAGATACTCCTCCGCCATTAGGAGTTGGGATTTATACAGAGAGGGGGACAGGGATTAGAGCCTTATGACTTATGAGAGACTTGATTTTTGCTTCAGTGATTGTATATCTGCTTTTTTCTTTGTTATTGATACATCAATCTTATATATCAAATCAACAAGCAACTGTTCTCGTTCATTCATTTATTGGTTATAATGGCTTTACTAATGTATATCACAACCATTTCAAGTACTTTTTTCTAAAAATTTTCTGCTGCTGTCTCTCCAGACTATTTAATTTTCTGTTTGTAACTCCTGTGAAGTGACCTGTTGTTTTGTTGTTTGGCAGTTCAGTCTTGGAAGTGGAAGAGGAACGTGGGGTCGCTCACATAGTTGAACATCTGGCTTTCAGTGCAACTAAGAAGTATACGAATCATGACATTGTCAAGTTCTTGGAGAGCATTGGGGCAGAGTTTGGTGCTTGTCAGAATGCTTCCACATCAGCTGATGAAACTATATATGAGTTGCTTGTTCCTGTTGACAAGCCTGAGCTGTTATCTCAGGCAATTTCAGTTTTGGCTGAGTTTAGCTCTGAGGTAGGTCTTAGTTTTACATTCATTCTTTTAACTGGTGGTGGCTTTATTTGTTATATTGTGTAATTTAAATTGCATCATGTCCTCTATAGGTTCGAGTGTCTGCAAGTGATCTTGAAAAGGAAAGAGGTGCTGTTCTGGAAGAGTATAGAGGAGGCCGGAATGCCGCAGGTCGGATGCAGGAAGCTCACTGGGTTTTGATGATGGAAGGATCAAGGGTAATTCTGCTGATATTTGTCAACCCTCTTAAGGGCTTTGTCAAACCTCATTAAGGGACTTTCCCTAAGGGCCCCATGTGTTCACATTCCAACTTTGGAGTCACCAAAACCTTTTCTTTTTTGGGATACATATTGAACTCTGCACTATACAGAGTTACAATATGTTCCTTTTGGCCTGCCTCTAGTCTAAAAGGGGCTGTTCTATTGATAAAAAAAGGGGTTGTATATAGTTGAGCCATGAGAGTTCTCTGCTGTCTTTTTGGAATGACACAAACTAATACTGATGCAAAAATTCTGAAATGTATTTATTTGTTTGTGCAAGCATTTGGAGCCTAGACAGAGAATGTAATATAAAGTAATGGGACTGATCAGGTACACTAACAAGTCAAACATTTTGATATAAACACGGCTTGAGTGTAAATGCGATTTCACAAACTTAAAAGCGTATAAATGGCATTGGGCAAATATTTAGGTCTCAATGCTATTCGTGAATTTTTTCAAAGAAAAACCGTGTATGTCAAATATTGCGTATCCCAGAAATATTTAGTAAGAGCTTGTCTACGCCTTAGCCACTACGGGTAATATTATAAGCTTTGGATCTATAGCGGCATGAGAATTTAGTGAGTCTGAACATACATGTTAATTAGTTTAAGATTTCTGCTGTAATGGAACATTCAGTAATATGCGCCTCTTACATTAGTAAGTCATGCACTGCATTTACTATGTGTGATAATTTGGAGTACAGACAGAGACCTCAGAATGCAATAATGACTAATGAGATTGATCAAGTAAATGCCTCTCTTACATTAGTAATTCATAGACTTTTGGATATAAAGATAGCTGGTGTAGATGTGCACTTCAATACCTTCTAAATCTGAGATTCAAATTCATGGATGTAGGCTTTCTTATAACCAGTGAAGCATCAGATTATCTATTTCAGAGGTTTCTTAGAGAAGATACATTCTCCAGGTTGTTATTTAAAAAAAAAACCTATTGAAATTTATCCACAAATTAAGTGTGGCCAGAGCTCTGCAGTGTTGCAGATGCGATCTTGTTACCGATGAGTGCTAACTTGCCAACCAGAATTCTTGCCACACACACACGCATATATATTGTGGAGCAAAGGTTTCTTTATGGAGCTAGTAGTGCTGTTTTCGTCCAATTGTGTTGCCCTTAACGTTGGTACCGTTCATAATGACTCTTCCGATTTTCATTCACTTCTAATTGACAATCATTAAACAAGCCATGGTTCTGTACCATTCCTTCACATAGATTCAAAATGTGTTATTGCTTATGAAGTTGCCTTCTGATAAATGCAGTACGCTGATCGCCAACCAATTGGACTGGAAAAGGTGATCAGAACAGTTTCCCCTGAAACAGTTAAAGGGTTTTATGACAAGTGGTATCATCTACACAATATGGCAGTGGTTGCTGTTGGGGATTTTCCAGATACTAAGGTTTTCTTTTCTTTGCATCAAATGTACGACTTGCTTCTAGGTCTGATGAACTTTCAGTGCATTTGTACACTTACATTTGATTATTTCATGCCTTATATGCAGAGTGTGGTGGAATTAATCAGAACACATTTTGGTCAGAAAGTTTCAGCATCCATTGAACCTCCTGTTATACCAGTTTTCCCTGTTCCATCCCACGAGGAACCTCGTTTTTCATGTTTTGTTGAATCCGAAGCTGGTGGGGTAGGTCAACCGTACATTAAGGCATTTTTGGGCATTATGCTCATCTTTTGAATGTTTATGCTAACTTTCTATTTTAGGTTTTGCTCGTCTCAGTCCGCAGTGATGATCAGCTGTAAGATTCCTGTATTTGAGATGAAAACTGTGAAGGACTATAGGGATTCACTAGCAGAAGCCATGTTCCACTGCGCCTTGAGCCAGAGGCTTTTCAAAATTGCTCGAAGAAAAGACCCACCATTCTTTTCATGCGGCTCTGCTGCTGATGTTCTTATCCGCCCTGTGAAGGCTTGTATAGTGACTTCAACTTGCAAAGAGGGGGGCATTATTGAGGCCCTGGAGTCGATGCTCTTAGAGGTATGTTTGCATGTTACAATGCAGATGGGATTTTCCTCCTTGTTCTAATCTTGCAGGCTAAATATTTCAGGTTGCAAGGGTGAGGCTTCATGGATTTTCAGAACGTGAAATTTCTGTTGTACGTGCATTGATGATGTCTGAGATTGAATCTGCATACTTGGAGCGTGATCAGATGCAGTCCACAAGCTTGCGTGATGAGTATTTACAAGTAGTCAAAAATCTCCTTACATTTCTGTTTTTTTGAGTCAAACCCTGGCTCATATCTTTTGCAATGTTTGTTTTTTTATTATTTTAGTCATATTACTGCTTAATAAAGGGTGGGCTATGTCGTATTTCTCCACTATATTCTGAGAAATTTTACTACCTTAAATATTCTTCCTTCTCCAAACTTGATCCCTGCATTAGACTTCCATTTCCGAACCCAGTTTAACTTCAATCAGAAAATTATGTGATCATAGTACATGAACGTCTTTGTCTTTTTCTATGGATTTAGATGACCATTATTTTAATACGGGAATAAGTTATTTAAGTCTAGGAGCCATTTACACCTTTTCTTTCCTTGGGTTGTGTTCTATGAACATGCCTATGCTTTAATGCTCTGTGTTACTTTAATGGTATTTTCTAGTTTCATTGATTGGTCATTTTATATTTTATATGAAAAATTGCATAATTTGGTGAGGAGTGATTTTGTTGGTACAATCTTAAAATCATATTTTGTGATTGAATATTTTTATTACCAAATACAGCATTTCTTCCGGAAGGAACCTGTGGTTGGAATCGAGTATGAAGCACAGCTGCAGAAGACTATCTTACCCCGTAAGTCACATATTGCATCTATTCCTTGAAAATCCTATTTTAGCATCTTAATATTTTTGTTTTTGTACCTCCAAGTCTCCAGTTAGCTTAGTGCAAGAGCTGGAAAGGAATTTTAATGAGCTAAATGGGTTCACCTCTGTGTTCTGCCCTTCTAGCGAGGGAATCACTGCATTTGGTATATCAGTTCTCTCCTTGGTATAATTATTTGACTTATCAAACACTTCGCACTTTCCCTTTCTTTACTGTTTCTTGCTCTCTCACATAGGTATAATTATATGGCTTATCCAACCAATCTACAAATTGTCCTTGAAATCAACTCGATATCGGTATATTGAAGTATGAGGATGGTGATGATGTTGATGATAACTTAGGCAATGTCTTTAGGGTGCTGCTGGGATTTGGCAGTGTGTATTTAGGGCCACATTGGATAGTGCATAAGTTGTGACTAACTTGAATTTATACGCAGGGTCCTCTCTTTGGGGTTTTTGGTGCATCTCCTATATGACCCTTCCTATATTGAGGCAGCACTTTCTAGGGATGAGGGTAAACTGCCAAAAGCTGGTTTGCCCTCATCTCTAGTGGAGTGTTTATGTGTGATGTGTTATTTGCTGCAATCTAAAGTTGCGATTAATTTGCATCAACTCGACATGATTCTGAAGAAGCGAAAATGCGAAGCTAATCCAACAAAAGATATTAATATTCTTTTACTCTTGCATTAGTTGATAAGTAGGTGTCTTTTTGTTTACTCTAGTTTTAGAACGTTTATTACATATTTATGAGATATATGATGAGTACAATTGCTGTGGCTTGTTGTTTCGCAGATATTTCTGCGAAAGAGGTTTCTAGTTTCGCTGAGAACTTCCGCTCAACATGCAGCTGTGTCATTAAGATTGTGGAACCTCGTGCACGTTCTACAATAGAAGATCTGAAGGCTGCTGTTTCCAAGATCAGTTCTATGGAAGAATGTGGAGCCATTCCAGATTGGGATGATGAGCATATCCCTGAAGAAATTGTCAGTGTAAAACCTGATCCGGGGTAATGTTGGCTTTATTGAAGACTGTCCATTCATTGAGCTAGTCTAGGTGTTGGACTCCCAAAATATATTATTAGCTTTGAACCATTCGACTCTATGGAGTTACCTTGTTGGGATTATTCATTTCAATTGTGTACTCAATGCATCAATGTGCATGGTTAGGAATTGGCCTTGATTGGTTTAGGTTGTTGATTATCACAACGCTACATCCCAAGTTTGACTCCTATCTCTGAACTACTCAAGGGAATGAACCAAACAACCTCCTACGCTGCAAAAAAAGTATATAAAGGGAACCTCATGTTTTAATCAGGCTTGGGATTGATTGGTTAGCTGTTGACATTTGCAACTCTGTCTCAAGATTGCTTTGTACTGCTAAACTACTAGTTGTTGACATTTGCAACTCTTATGTCTCAAGATTGCTTTGTACTGCTAAACTACTTCATAAAATGCACCAATATGTGTGCGTACAAGGAGCTGATTTTGCAAAGTATATATCACTGATTGAGAGATATGACCAAGAATATATTATCTAAATCATTTATATGTTATGAAAGGCCATGGACGATATATATCTAAATATCTCATAGAAGAAAATTGATATTGATTGGACAATGACAATCTTAGATAAACTCATATTTTTCCTTGATTGTGTAATTCTTGTAGCCTTATGTAACATGTAATTTATTACATGGGTCCTTAATTCGTGTAGCCAACCCCAATTACATGGGCTTTGATGATGATGAAACAATAGAGATTTTGTGTAATAAGTTACAAATTTACCAGCCTTTGCCTAGTGATGCCTACTCCACCACCACCCCTCCTCCTCCTCCTCCTCCTCCCCTTCCCCTCCCTCCTTCCCCTCTACCACAACTATGTCCATTGGATTAACCCAAACTCTCTCCTTGTCTCTCACTGTACCTTTGTCCCTTCTACCTCTTGTTCCCAACTTCCCGGTTCCACCCCCTTCCTTCGCCCAACTATTCAAACTCCTTCCTACCCTGAATCCCAACCTTCTTGTCTCCCCCACAATCTAGTTCCCCCGGTCGTCTTCCCCTTCCTACTCCACACAGAACCAACCTCATCTCTCTGTAGGCTTCATTTATCACAGAGCTGAAGAAGAACCTGACATCTCTCTTATCAGCCAAGTCCACCCATAGAGGGATGATATCAGAAGCATCCAAGTCTGGGGCCAAAGATTCTGGGTGGAACCTCATCTATGTTGCAGGAAACTTTCCAATGGGCCCATCCGTTTCAGTTTTCCTTCTGAAGGCGGTGCTCTTGCAGCTCTCACTAGTCGAAACCCCGAATTCAAAGGAGCATCCCTCTCCCTTAGCAGCTGTAGTCAGGACATCAGTGCCTACCGGTCACCTAGATTCTGGCTGAGGGCTTCCAGTATACCCCTCCACGCTTGGCATCCTTCCACTTCCAGTATTCCCCTTCCTCTCCCTTCATTAGTCCCTGCTCCTTCTCCCTCTGTCCCCTACACCGCTGCTCATCTTACCCCCATCAACTGGTCCTCCACTTCATATCCTCAACCACCACGCGATGGTAACCTATGGCCTCCTCCTTCCTCCATGGACACCCCATTGGAGCTAGCACCTCACAACTCCCCCCTGGTTGGCTTCTACCTTATCCCCATTCCCCCCTTCTCCTTCACCCAACCACCCCCCCTTCAAGAAGGGTCCCACCCAGGGTCCCCACCTATGCTTTCGGCACCTTCCAGCTCCCTCTTGCCTTATCCGTAGCCACAGCCTCTACCTTCCTCGAATTTGAGTAGCGCAAACTTCCCATTATGCCTTATTTTCTTGCTTGCCCCCCCAACCTCCAGTCCCCGACTTTCCTTCCCCGCCCCTATCACCCTATCAGTACCCTTTTGGCCCCATATGACCTACAAGTCCCTTCTCCAATCCTCCATCCATCCGTCCCCACCTACCAGCCCCTTGTCACTTTCTCTCTGAGCTCCTCCCCTACTTGGACTCCACCCCTTCTCCACAAAACGCGCCTCCCTTACCCTTCCTGGCCACCTACGGATACCTCCCCTACCCCTTCCCAACCTTCGACCCAGAGGCCAACTATTACCAAGGAGGCCTCATCTTCCTCGTCCCCCAAGGCTCAAACTGGTGCTTCCCCTCCTCCCCTCATATGCCTCGACTCGCCAGAATCCTATTTGAGCAACTCCCCTTCCTCACAGATGGCATGTGCAGCATCAGTGGGTTCGAGTTTCATCGAAGGGATTGACAGGGCCCAAGGGGATATCCCTCTGGTCTTCAAAATCATGGGTTTCCAGTATGACGGACCACAAGAAGCTCTAGATGCTCTTCTCAGTGGATACCCCCACTGCTCCTCCAGCTAGTGGCAGAGGTATGAAATCTACCCCTTTTCCATCCCCCCTGGTGGGGCTTTAAGTTGGCATCGTCCCAATAGCCCATTTCACTCCAACGTCCCCAAGCACTTTGGCAGGCCAGCTTCTCAGTTGATCCCCCAAGCCTGCCTCCACCGACCCTTGTCCATGAAGATCCTCACATGGAATATTTGAGTATTGGGCAACCTCCTCGGATGCAAGGTGGTGAAATACTTCTACCGAAAACACCAGCTGTTAGTTTTGGCCTTAATCAAAACCAGACTCCTCTCCCCCTCTCTTCTTCAAGTGTGAGAGGTGTGGGGTCACAGACCCTGCCAATGGGCTACTTTAGAAGCCCAAGGAACCTTCAGAGATATCTAGGTTATATTGGACCCTACTATCCTCTCCCTTATTCCTCTGTGGCGGCCACTTTCTTGGTCACAACTTCCTTCACCAGAAACTGCAATGGCCTCCAATGGAAGTTCACTGCTTTATACGGGCCAAACTGTTAAGGTTTGCTAAGCCAGGTTTGGCAGGAGCTAGATGGCCTAGCAAACCTGGATCCCTCAATTTGGTGCTTAGGCAGTGACTTCAATGTCACAAAGTGGTATTTTGAGCGGAACTCCAGCCCAAGTATATCCCAGAGCATGATAGATTTCTCAGACTTCATCTCTAGCCATAACCCCTTGGATATGCTATTGCAAGGAGCTGAATTCACATGGTCAAACCACTCTACCTCTCCCTCCTTATCTAAACTGGACCATTACCTCATTAGCGTGGAATGGGACGCTACCTTTCCTGGTTCCCATACAATGGCGGTCCCAAAGCCCTCCTTCAACCACAAATGTGTCCTCCTTGATACCCAGCTTGCCCCCAGAATTTCCAAACCTTTCCTCTTCAAACTGTCTTGGCTTGAAGAAGCCAACATCCACTCCCTTGTCACATCATGGTGGGATTCCTTCTCCAACCAAGTCCATGGCAGGGCAGGCTTAGCGTAAATTACAACTCCTGAGAGCATCTTTGAAGCCTGGAGTTGTCAACTCCCAAGAAATTTCAATGCCCATAAAGAGGCCTTCTTACAATCCATCAAGCAATGGGACATCACAAAGGAGTGCAGGCCTTTGTCCTCGGCTGAGAGCCTCCATAGAAGCCAACTTAAACAAGATTACCAGTCTTTGCTCCACAAGGAATAAATATTCTGGTTCCAGCAATCTAGAGTCAGATGGCTCAAATTTGCCGATCTCAATACCGCCATTTTTCACAAGATCGCAAATTGTCATCTTAGAGATAACACCATCACACAAATTAAAGTTGGGAACCTCTCTCTTGACCACTGTTTCAAAAAGCGGACCGCCTAGCGCCTGGACGGATATCCTTGGGCGCCCGCTTGAACCCGCCTAGGCGGCCGCCTAGGGCGTTCGCCCCACCCAGGGGCAAAATGCAGCTCCTTGAGGGTATTTTTGGGTTTTTTTTTAAATATTAAATAGGCAAAATTATGGGTTTTAGGTTCATTTGAAACCTAAAACCCATTAGAGGCTATTTTAGAGAGAGAAAACCCAAAAAAATTATTTTTCTGCTGGGCCGCCCAAGTTCTGGGCGCCCGCCTAGGCACTGGGTGGCTTGGACCCCCCCCCCGACCGCCTAGGTGTCGCCTAGCGCTTTTTGAAACACTGCTCTTGACCAACCCCCTTGATAGAAAATGCTATTTTCCATTTCTTTGCTGACCTCTTCATTGCCCCACCTGGTCTGAGGCCATACATGGCGGATCATTCTTTTCAAACCTTACCCTTAGATCAAGCTCCTAGCTAGAACGTCCCTTCTCGGAGATGGAGAACCTCATGGCCATACCCATTAAGGACCTTGGGCAGGACAGAGCCACAGACTCTGATGGATTTCAAGTTGCCATTTTCAACACCTTCTGGACCTTCTTCCGGCCTAACCTCCTCTCATTCTTTGAGGAGTTCTACTCCAGTGGCATCATTCATTGGGCCATGAATGCCACATTCATGCTCTTATCCCTAAGAAAGAAGGGGCCAAAGAACTCAAGGATTTTAGGCAGATTAGGCTAATTAACAGCTCCTATAGAACTCTATCCAATGTGCTTGCATCCCGTCTCAAAGAGGTACTTCATTGGGTCATCTTGCCCCACCAAGCGGCTTTTGTCAAAGACCATAAAATACTTGACGGCTCCTTTGTCGCCCAATGCATTAACTCTCGTCATCTCTCAAGGTTACTGGGAGTTGTCATCAAGCTTGATTGGGAAAAGGCCTGTGATCATGTGGATTGGGTGCTTCTAGATGAAACCCTTTGCCACATGGGCTTTGGGGTTCACTGGAGGACCTAGATCCGAGGTTGCATTTCTAATCCCTTCTTAGTTCCCAAAAGATTCTTGCCCCCCTCCCATGGCCTTAGACAAGGCAAATGTCTCTCACCCTTCCTCTTTGCCATTGTAGGGGAGGTTTTCAGTAGGTCAATTACTGGATTGTTCCAAAATGGTCTTATCGATGGATTCAGGATTGGGTCCACAGGCCGGACCGTCACCCACCTCCAATACGTAGACGACACGCTCCTCTTCTATGGGATTTGGCATCCCCAAATTGACACTTTGTTGCTGTTGCTCAAGTGCTTCGAGTTCGCCACAGGTTTCACGGTGAACATGAACTAAACCAAGATGATTGGGGTGTCTGCTGAAGCCGCAACTGCAGTCCAGGACCTGGCTGACCGTCGAGGTCGTGAACCCCAGCCCCTGCTCTCCACCGTATTTGGGGCTACGCCTGTGCTTCGATAAGCCCAACCAGCCAATGGAGCCACCTTATCGACAAGTTCGATAGAAGACTCGCTAGCTGGAAAGGTAGGTTTCTCTCTCCCTGGGGAGGATCACCCTAATCAAAGCTACTCTCTCAAATGCCCCCATATTTCAGATGTTGCTTTTCCACATGCGTGCATCTGTGGCCCACTGCCTTGAACAGCTAATGTGCAATTTCCTGTGATTGGGTCACCTAAAAACTTTTCACCACCTTGAATTGAATAACATTGCCCTTCTAGGAAAATGGTGGTGGCACTTGACCGCCCAGGACTATCATCTGTGGCAAGACATCCTTAGCTGCAAATATCGCCTCCCCTCCTTCGAATGGTTACCATCTGGCAGGGCTCTTGGTCGTGACTCAGGGGTATGGAGATCCATCCCCCGCAGCCTGCCTCAATTCAATGCCTACATCAGATTTTCCCTTGGTAAGGCGGATGAGTGAGATTCTGGTTAGACTTCTGGCTTGGTAACTCTACCCTCCGAGAATGCTACCCAAACCTGTTCAGTATAGCTAGCCTGGGTCAACGATCTGTGGCACATCATTTTGATTCCCTGGGCTCTACTAGAATTTGGAACCTGATGGTTACCATCTGGCAGGGTTCTTGGTCGTGACTCAGGGGTATGGAGATCCATCCTCTGCAGCCTGCCTCAATTCAAAGCCTACATCAGATTTCGCCCTTGGTAAGGCGGACGAGTGAGATTCTGGTTAGACCTCTGGCTTGGTAACTCTACCCTCCAAGAATGCTTCCCAAACCTGTTCAGTATAGCTAGCCTGGGTCGAGGATCACATCATTTCGATTGGGTTGAGGATCACATCATTTCGATTCCATGGGCTCTGCTAGAATTTGGATCCCCAGGTTCTGGAGGGCCCTAACAGTTACTGAGTTGTTCGACGTCCTCGACATGTCCACCCTTCTCTGCTCGGTTTTCCTCTCCTCTCAGGGAGCCGATGGCATCATCTGGGCTCTACCTCCTCAGGTCTCTTCTCAGTCTCATCTTTTTATTGGAAACTCCTCTTGGTCCCTTCCTCACTCCATAACTTCTAGGGCCTGGTTCCCTTTCATTCCATCTAAGATCCAGGTGTTCAACTGGATAGCCCTTAACCAAAGAGCCTTAACTTCTATCAACTCCAAATCAGCAGTCTCCCCATTCCCAAAAGGTGCGTTATGTGTTTGGGGGACAAAGAGACCAATGTGTACCCATTCATTGACAGTACTGGTGGGGGGGGGGGGGGGACCTACTACAGCTCTTCAACTGGTATTTGGTACCCTCGAAAACATCCCTAGGTTATTTGGCTTCCTCTACCCCTTCCCTTGGAGCAAATCAGGGATCTTACTCTGGCAAGCATCAGTCACAGCTACTCTGTGGGCCCTTTGGACTCAGTGCAACAATAGAATCTTTATGGGTGTCTCTTCCACACCCTCGGTCTTGGATAGGAAGAGAATGGAACTCATCATTTTCTGGGCAACGAACAACCCAACTTTCAAATTTTTTTCCTGCACGGACATTCACCTCAATTGGCCAGCCTCACTCCTCACATTTCCAGGGCTTCCCTTTGGAGACCACCTGACCTGGGGCAAATCAAACAAAAGTTTGATGGGTGCTCTTTAGGCAACCTAGGCCCAGCTGGGATTGGGGACATCTATTGGGACCACGAAGGTGGAACCCTCTTCTCCTTCTCCAAGCCCATAGGACAAGCTGATTCTACCACCGTAGAAGCAATTGCTCTCCTTGAAGGTCTCCTTAACTACGACAGCTCCTGGGGTTATGTCCTTATTGTAGAGGGAGATTCCAGTAACGTCATCCAATGGGCCTCGGGATCATCGGTAAGTCCATGGAGACTATTACATATTTTTGACGAAATCTCCCACGTTTCCAGTGTGCTTCTCATTTCTTGGACGCACATATGGCGGGAAGCAAATGCTACAGCTGATACTTTTCCTAAAGAAGGGGCTCATCTTGGTGCGACTTCCTCGGGATCATACCCTACCATCTTCTATGAGCCTCCTGCTTAGTTTTTGCCATTTTGTATAGGCCTGTGGCTGACCACTTTATTTCTCTTGCATGGGACCCCTGAGAGGGTTTTCTGTGTATGGAACCTAGTTGGTGGGTGGTTAGTTCTTACTAGGTCATTTTTTGTAACTTGTACATCTCGTACTAAGTCCCTTTAATACAAAGTAAACATTCTCAACAAAAAAAAAAAACCATATCACTGATTGACATATTTCTTGGGCTTGTTTTAAAGTTTGTACCTCATTAAATCAGACACTTAGGCCACATGGCATTGCAACTTGTTGCATAAGAAGTGTAATGGTTATATTATGTTGAATTTCGTGCATGTAATTTTGCTCTCTTAAGAGTCCTTTTGGTTACTTTGGTTTTCTTTATGAGTTCAATGCGGAAACCGTTCTTCAGATTCTAAATTTTGTTTTTGTTGTTTGACCATTCCTTGCAGGGATATAGTGCAGCAGACGTCGTTTCCTAATGTTGGTGTCACTGAGTTAGTAATGTCTAATGGCATGCGTGTGTGCTATAAGTGCACTGACTTCCTTGATGATCAGGTACTACTGGTATTCAAGTGTCAATACTGTTTGAAACTTACTACAGAATTAAGTATATGTGGATAATCATACTCAATTTACTATAACTTGTTCCAGCTTATGCGTATGTTCTTAGGTCACCAGATGCATATGGGCTACTTGCAAATTTGTCTTGTCTTATTCTTTAGTTTAGTTCCTCCTTTGGTTACATGTTTAATGTTTAGTTAATGTAAATGGGTTGGAAGAATTTGTGAGCTAGTGAAAATAAATGTTCTTTCTCTTGGTGTTTACCTAGGAAATGTTGGTTTTTAAGTTTGAAGTTACTTTGGACTTTGAAGTTCCTACAATCCAGATACCAGAATTGAAAAATCCTGGATCCCATTCTCTTAAGAATCAAATGCTTCAGAAAAACTTATGCCTACTCAATAGAATCTGTACTTCAAGCCATCACATCTTTAGTTCCAAATGTTCTCTACCATTCTTTTTGAAATTTCATTCTGCCTTACCATTTTGCTTTACAGTTTTATAATCTTGGGCAATTTGGATTATTTGGTAAAATTACTTCAGTCCTCTAATATAATTTAAAAAAGAGAAAATTTTGGTTGCAAATAGTAATTGAGAAAAAGTGAGCTAATCTCTTAGAATAATTGAAACCACTTGGTTGCTTGGTGTCATTCCTTTAGAAGGTTTTTAGGATGAATCCATGTGGGGGGCCCTCAGATTATGTGAAGCCCTGATCTATAGAAATTGACATTTTCATCAGAAGAAATTATAAATCATGGAATATTGGATTTTAACTTAGTTCTTTAGGTAAAATGTGCAGAAGTTATTTGAAAATGCTTGTAATCTATAGAAATTGGCTTGTTGATTGTCCTGAAGTTCAGGTACTTGTTATCTTCCAGAAAGTGGTTCACAATGCGTTGTTTGGCATATAGAAAGGTTGATTTTGAATTTGAATATGGCCTAATTCCTTGCCACACACCCTTTTGTCATTTGCTTTGGTCTTTTGCTTGATGCCAGACACTCATCAAACCTGAAGTAAAGCAATGTAGATGTTAATGCTTAAACTCAAAGGGACTAGCTTCTGCAAACTGTATTTGGCTGTACCATTCTTGTTTGTTGACTTTTTTTTGGATATTCTAACAAATTTGTATATCTCCTTGACTTCCATCCTATTGCTTTATAAAATGCAAGCACATTATTCAGGCTACTTAGTGCAGATTCATTTCTCTTTTTATTTCCCACTTTTTTTGTATTGCGATGGATGGTTTCCTATTTATTGGAAGTTCATGATAGTTCTTTCAATTTATTCCTTTTCGTTTTCTTTTGTCTTTCGTAGGGTTCAATGATTGCAAAATTTATCCGTTTGTTTTAGTTAAAAACCCATATCATATAATTTTACTTTATTACCTGCAGGTTCTTTTTACTGGGTTCTCATATGGTGGTTTATCAGAGCTTTCGGAGAGTGAATATCTTTCATGCTCAATGGGATCAACTATTGCTGGTGAAATAGGCGTATTTGGTTATAAGCCATCTATTCTTATGGATATGCTGGCTGGAAAGAGAGCTGAAGTTGGTACAAAAGTTGGGGCATACTTGAGGACCTTTTCAGGGGATTGTTCGCCGTCGGACCTGGAAACTGCCTTGCAGGTTGAGTCCATTCTGGGATGTCCTTTTTTTATTCAATTTTGTTTCTAGCTTCCGAAGACAATTTTTTTTAATGTATTTAATGTATTGCTACATTTCTTTTCTATTATTTTGAGGGTTTTGAATTGGATGTCTTAGTGAGAGGTCATGATTGGATGGTGTCACCAGAATTTAGTGGTGGTAGAAAATGTTTACTGCTCTATGGTCACAAGTTTAAAATTGGAATTGCAAAGAGGGTTCTCTTGGATGATTTGGAATGCTAGTTACATAGATATTTGGTATATACTCATGTCAACCCTCTTCTGTTAATGAGGTACTTGTCACTTCAACTTTAGCTTAATTTAACCCACTTATATCAAGAGCATTATCACACCTAAAACTACGTATAACACATAAAATTGTGTTCTATTATGCAATGGGCTAAAATCAATTTCCATATGGTCATCAATTCTGTAGTTTATGCGTATATGTGAACTTTTAGCTTCCATTCTTACTTTCAAAGTGTCTAATATGTCCTTCATTTTTAGCTTATTCTAGCACATGTATAATATGAGCATTATTGCACTTAAAACTGTGTTGGGTTATGCAATGGACTTCAGCAATAGTGACGACTCAATTCCCTTGTGGTCATCAATTCTGTACTTCATTTTTTGACTTACATAAGTTGCTTGCAGCTTGTGTATCAATTATTCACGACGAATGTGGTACCAGGAGATGAAGAGGTTAAAATAGTTATGCAAATGACAGAAGAAGCAATCCTTGCCCAAGAAAGGGACCCATTTACTGCATTCGCGAACCGTGTACGGGAACTGAACTATGGGAACTCTTATTTTTTTAAGGTATGCCAGTTGTCAAGTTTCCCACCTGGTTTTTCTTTTGTGTTGGTAATGCTTAGCAATGTTTTTGATTTTGTCTATTTTTTGACATAAGTTTTTGGATGCCCTTACACTTGATGCAGCCTATTCGAGTTCCTGACCTTAGAAAGGTGGATCCTATCCGAGCCTGTGAATACTTCAATAACTGTTTTAAAGATCCTTCTACATTTACCGTTGTTATTGTTGGAAATATTGACCCAGCCATTGCCCTTCCGCTAATTTTGCAATTCTTGGTAACTTCTATTTATTTTTCCCTTTTGAGGTGGCTCTGACCTTGGTGATGGAGGTATTTGTATATTTGACTCGTTGAGGATGTTGGTGCTTCTTTATGTAGGGTGGAATACCGAAGCCCGCTGAACCCGTTTTACATTGCAATCGTGATGACTTGAAGGGTTTACCATTCACATTTCCTGAAACCATTGTGAGGTAACTATGCTGTCGATTTTCTAGTGTGGTTAATGGTAGGAGTTAATGCTTTGTTATGTTTTTATGGTTGTTTTCTGGTCTTTATTGTTGTGATACGCACATTTTCTTTATGGAAAAGCATACTAGAATGCGGTGAACTATTAAAAAACCACTATCTATTGGGTCATCAATCTGTTAAAATGATGGAAGGTAAGAAATATACAGTGGGACCTGCCATTTAGGTCTTGTTTTGGTGGATCCCACTCTCTGTCCGTCACTCTTCATTTCAATGGATGGCAATGACTCTATGGACTATGGTTTTTCCATAATCCACTGGATTTTAATATACAGACCATATTATTTATTAGTTTTTCTTTTTATTCTCATTCTTTTGAAATAAGTGTTTTGGCATTTAATTATGCGATCCAGGGAAGTTGTACGCAGCCCAATGGTTGAGGCACAATGCTCAGTCCAGCTGACCTTTCCAGTGGAGCTCAAGAATGTACAGATGGTGGGCCAGCCTATCGTTTTCCCTTTCTGCTACAAATGAATACGTTAATTGGTTGAAGTAAAAACAATCTTGCATGTTTTTCATGTTGTTGTCGAGGGTCAAGGTTTGGTTAAAAGAAAACATTTACTAACATTATGGGATTGATATGTTGCCATTATTGCTTTTTACAATCGACTAGATGGAAGAGATTCACTTTGTTGGGTTTGTGAGCAAACTTCTGGAGACCAAAATCATGCAGGTTCTACGCTTTAAGCATGGGCAGGTATTATTTTCTCCGGTTCTTTTGCTAGTTGTTGTACTTTTGCTCCATTGTTCCCCATCTGATTTGCATCTATGCAACTGTTTCAGATATACTCTGTCAGTGTTTCTGTCTTCCTAGGTGGTAATAAACCTTCGAGGACTGGGAATGTTCGTGGTGATATTGCTGTAAACTTTTCATGTGATCCAGATAGCTCATGGAAACTGGTGTGTCTCTAAGCTATGGCTGAATATGTTATTATTATTATTATTTTTTCTTTTAAATTTGTGATTGGTAAATATATGTGTGCTTAATTGGTTTCCTTTGAGATCAATTGTATGGATTTTAGTTCTGAGCACCATTACTTTTATTTTTTTTGTTTACTTTTTGGTCCTTGGATAGTCGCAATTCTGTAATATACATGCTTCCAAGGCAAATGAACTGCTATTCTATGACCTTTGTTTATCGTATAATGTTCTTTCTGCAGGTGGACATTTCCTTGGATGAAATATTGTGCCTTCAAGAGAAGGGACCTTCACAGGAAGATGTGTCAACAATCCTTGAAATTGAGCAACGGGCCCATGAAAATGGATTGCAGGTTATCATTGTCACTAAACTTCCCCTGGACAACATTTTGGATTTAGATGTTTTGACAATTATTTCTTCAGAGAATTTCATGGCTTATCTTCTTGTGAACCATATCCTTGTAGGAGAACCATTACTGGCTAGATAGGATTCTACGCAGTTACCAATCACGTGTGTATTCTTGTGATCTTGGTGCTTCATTTGAGGTGGGGTACTGTTGATTTTTTTTTCCTTTGTTCTTTTATGTGTTTCTTGTTAATGATTTCAGTTGTTTCTTTTATGTGTTTCTTTTCATGATTTTGTGAAGAACCAATCGACTTAATATTGGCCTTGCATAGTCTTGGGGATTGGTCCCTTGGCGTGGTTCCCAGACACATGCTTTTTGTTTGCTCTTAAACGATGTTTAATCTATTTGACTATCGGCCAAGAATGCATCTGACTATTATGAGAACACCCTACCTGTTTAATTTATCCAAACTTCAAACCCCATATTCACATATTTGATAGTGCTTAATTAGGTTCTAACATAACAAAAATGTTATTACACTACTAAGTCATGTTGATTTTTGACAAATTAATAATTTATTTGGTGTTTTATTTTTTAAGTTTTTCTTAAGGTAGTTAAAAATAAATGAAATATCCTCGAGATATTTGACTATATAAATGACAGATTTCCCTCAATTCAAAATTGCCAAAAAAATCCTCTCTTTTATCTGTAGATTAATAGATTCCAACAAGTTACAGCATGTCGCACAATAAGGTCACCTTCTTACAGTTCATACTTATGTATCAAATTCTAAAAATTTTGTTTCTTTTTAAGTGACAAGGCATTATACTATTATTTTGTGCTTTTTTTCCATCCTAAAACATTTGCTTAATGTTTCCAATTACAAACATTCTAGAATTCTCTGCTCATGCTATTTATGCATGTTGTTGGTGCAATAGGTTTCACAAGATTCTAATTTATGAATACTTCTTAGTTAACCATAATAGTGGTGCCCATGTAGGAGCATATAAGAGTCAAACTGTGGCTTTGGAACGTGAAGCATGTCATATGAGATATCTCAATGACATCATATCGGGAATCTTCTGATCAAATTCTTTTGAATTCAGGCACAAGATGAAGGGCGAAGCAAAGTTAGAGAATGTTTAAATCCATCTACAGCACAGTTGGCATCACAAAGAATATTACCTTTCCCATGCACTAGTCAGTATAGTGTGGTTGTTCTTATGCCCCAATCATCTCGCATAAGGTTTCTCAAGTCATTGCTTCAGTCTGCTCAAAACAGAACTGGAACAGAAGCAAAGGTACGTCCTGTGTTGATAGTAAATGGCTTTGTCTTCTATTGTGCTTATATTATTTTATTGTGTATTATTGGAAGATATCTAAATCTATTGAAATTCATGTTAGTGTTGATTGTAGTGATGTTAGAAAGTATAATCAATTATTTTGTATCCCCTGAACATCAGATTTCTCCACGATGCTTCCCATTCATTTAGTGTTTTGAGTCTTTGAGTTGGAATGGTTACATGGATGCCCTATGATTCATGCATTTGGGAAGTAAAAGATGGTCTTCCTATTTTCTTTGTGGTTTCTTTTAAGGAAATGATTTCATACAACTGCAGATGCACCCTTAGAATTACAATTACAGTTCATTTCTCCATGATTTTGGATGATTGAGGACCCAAAATGCCGCAAATCTATTCCATTATCTTTCGTGAAGAATTTTGGAAAGAATATGGATTTGGAGACCTAAGATGCTCTGCCTTAACTGGCATCTCTACAGTTCTTCTGGACCATCCATAATGGATGCTATCAGATTTGGAGTTTTTTAGGTGCTTCAAATCCATTTTCTTTCGAGGAAAATAGATTTTCAGGTCATAGTGCTTTTGGGTCTCAACCCATTAAAAAATGAAGTTTTGAGGTGCGGTTGTGGTGTCTAGTTGAATCTGCGGCTGTACCGAAATGCGACCCTTGTTAAATGAACTTCTCTTTGTACTTCAAGTTTAGATCTACTAGAAGCTTTGGGTAGTTTAAAGGGTAAATTTGGTTGTTATTCAATTTATTGCACATACTTTATAATACTCTAGTTCATAGTTGCGGGAACCTTGGGGATGAGACCATGGTCTCACCTTAGGAACTCAATCCCGTGGTTTCTCTAATGGATCTTAGAGGGAGTTGGGTTTAGAGAAACAGGGATCTTGCTCCCCATAAAATGGGATCTCAGTTTACATGCTTGTGGTATATTAAAATTATGGTATTTAAAATTACGATTTAATATCATATTAAGCCAATTTATGATATTATTAAACTAACTTCAAGATGGCTAGTCAACTCGGTCATGCCAGTCCCAAGCCCGATTAAAGGAGGAGGATTATGTTAGGTAAGGCAGCCAGTTTAAAGCTTTGCTACATCTTTTTTTGAATCCTAATGATGATTAAACTGCATTATTGTAGTAAATTGGAGTACTATATGAAAGTTGTGGGCTTGTGACTAGGTGGAACTCAAGGTATTAAATTAAAAAAATTTACTTTTACTTTTATTCCAAATACATGAATTCCAATTACATGGGCCTCAATAAGTTGCTGTAAATTAAAATAGTGCCCTAGATACAGCCAAAGATCTTTAATTTTTATTGCTACGAGAAATAGAAACTATCTAGGAACTGTAAACTAACTTCCACTATAATTTTTAACACAAAATAAGTTCTTGAAAATTTACAAAAAATAAAAAAATAATACTGAAAATTAATTAAAATTACTGGGAAGACTTGCTAGAAGATGCTTGGAGTTACTCTACCAGGATAGGTACACCCCTCAGTCGATTCTCTGATGACGCACTTTTACTCTTTAAGGTGTTACTGGAAAGTCTGAGATAGGGAAGATTTATAGGCAATACTTCCTTTCTTTAGGATTTTAGAGAGCTAAAAAATAAACTAGGGTTTATAGAAACCTTATGAGAACAAATGAGGGTTGAACTTGAGAATTAATTTCACTCTAGGTTGTACATACCTCTTTTTCCTTCAAAATCAACAAACCCTAGCCCTAGGGTTTTCACGTGCCACCACCTATTTTTCTTTTTCTTTGGGTGGCATGAATAAAAAAATAGAGGAGAGAGGGTGGCATGAATAAAAAAAAGAGGAGAGAGAAGGTGGCATGAGAGAGAGAGATCTCCCTTTTTTGTGTGTGAAGGACAGAGGAGAGAGAAAGTGGCGTGAGATAGAGGGGATTTTGTTTTGAGAGAGAGAAAGATCTTGTAATGAGTTTGAAAGACGTTCTCACTTGGTCATTTTATAAAGGAAATCTATTTTTTTAATTTGAATAGGATTCCTTTGAAGTATCGAGTTATCTAATTTCCAACTAGAGCTTTTAGGATAATTAGGAAATCTGTTGGGTGAGAAACATTTAATCAGAGTCATCCATCTCAAAAATCAACTATCATGATTTTGGGTGGAAATACGAACCTCATCTTTTTAGACTTTGACCCAAGTCCAACTCCTATTTAAAATTAAAATATAATCAATTTTTACCATAGATCTCCTATAAGATTAGGAAATAGATTGATCTCCCATAAGGATAAGAAACCAAATCTAATTTGAATTAGATTTCCTATCAAGGCAATTTGAATCTTAAACCATGTTAAGATATTGGGGCGTGTCCCCCCCTTTCTCCCTAAAGGGTGGCGTGCACCTTTTTCTTTAAAAGATGGCATGAAACTTTTGTTTAAAAAAAAGTGTGGTCCCTATGGGGGCACATGGGCCCCACACATAAAAGAAACAACACTAAGGGCACTTTACTTGCCTCAGAAACCATGATCCAATATTGTTCTCTTATCCAACCCAACAAAGACCCATGACCTACCGTCTCAAAGTAGGGGCTCATGATTAGCTTGTCAAAGTTAGGCAATAAACAGTGGGACCATGATTCTGGAATGTGGATTCTCCTTTTAAGAGCAAGACTGACACTTGTCACCATAGTGTAAATAGGGTTCTCTCTATGCACATGTGCACGTGTCCCTCTATAAGTTTGCTTCCCAGTAATGCGGTTGTAGGTGTACGTCCCTTGCGGAAGTTTGTTCTCATAGGCCTACAACCGCATATTGGAGACCACATAGTTGTCTTAGCCTACAAACATGATCCTTGAGTATTTCTCCGACCTCAACAAGGGATGACCCAGTGCAAACCCTTCTCAGTAGCACCACATGCCCAGGGCCATCAACACACAGTCCCACTGAAGTGCATATTTTACTATAAATATCATTTTTACACACCTTCTAATCCTTTAAAGGCCACAAAACCCAACGTTATAACCATGGCATTGGCAATAAGCTAAGGTGTATGATAATAGATGGAGCAGGCATTGGTTCAATCCTAATTTTATCATATACTATTAACTGATCTCTTTTTTTATGCATAGCTGAGTTTAGATGCCTCCAGGTCAAAACCTCAATCCTAGTGGCATGGGATCTTACTCCCAGGTATCTTAGGATCTAGCTCCTTAACTTGTTGTATGTACGGATGTCGATTCCAATCCCAAGGAGCTTCCACCCTAAGGTGGTTCGGCGTTCCCCGAACGATCCTGCCCTCAGCTCTAACAACTATGCTCTAGTTAGGATTATATTTTAAGCGAGTTATGATGCTCTAATTTTGGTTTTTTATTTGTTCTTTTTTTTTGAGGGGAGGTGGGGGGAGATGTTTTTATTACATCATGAAATTTAGGGCTTATAAGACTGCCAATTTTGCTTGATTGATTTTGAGGATCAATTGCACAGATAATGAAAATAGACTGCAACTGTGTACTCTTAAGAGAGGGTATGCAAACAATCATGTCTGTTTTCTAATTTCTTGGGCTAGTTGTAATCTATTCCTCTCAGGAAAATTGTAAAGGTTTGCTTTCTCTAATTGTATAACAAAACCAGAAATTTCCTCTCGCTTGTTCCTCATCAATTCTCAGATTTTTATCACCAGGCCATTGTGTATCAAAATAGTAGTTTAACTTGAACGAGAAAAACAATGTCTCTGTTGTTGAGCTCAGTTATTGGAGAGGTGTAATAATATACAAATTTTTCTGTGACTGGGACAGAGTTGCCTCACTCTGTACCCTAATGTGGAATCTCTTATTATCTTCTCATGAGAGAAACAGCTAAGGGGGTTCCTAAGGGTTTCTCTTGATATTGAACCGTGTCTTGCTTTTATGGTCCCACTCTCCATCGCTGTACATCAACCCAGTGAATGTGGTGACCAATGGTATTTCCATATTCCATTGGATTAATATTCTTTTCCCTCATCCGTTCATACATCCCAATAAAATGCATCTATGAAATCTATATTGTAAATGCAGAGTCTTTTATTAGTCAAGAATCTACTGCTACTTTTATCTCACCTCATATTCTTGTGTAATCCATTCTTAAAAGCTTAATTTCATGGTTACAGATATTAACTGGTATTGGTGGTGCAATAGTTGTGGCAGTCACATTATGGAGATATTTTCGGAGTAGTTTAAAGTCTTGAGATAAGATTCGTACTGGATCTTGATTCAGTTGGTCTCCTTTTCTAGTAGAGAGGTTCACCAGTTTGTGCAGGAAGTTTTATTGTCCTTCAGAAATCAGAAGCAAAAATGAAGAACCAAAGAAAGCCAGGAATTAATTACTCACCACTTCTGCAAGCATTTGATACTCATAAGAAGCGTTTTTCCTTCTATTCTTGTTATATGCTTTTTTTTTTTCTTGACTTATATAGGACTTAAATCTTTTTGTTTTTTTGGGCATTCAGGGTGCTATTCAAGGCTCCCCTTGTAATATTCTGACATAAAATGTAGGACTTTATAGTAGCTATGCTGCAGGATTATTTTTCTTGTTTAAGTTTGGACCAACCGGTCATTGAGAGCACTTATGCATTTTATTTGTTTGTGAATTTGGCTTGGAGCTGATGACTCGTTTAGAAGACCATTCAACTAGTATTGCCAGGGTGTGGTTTCTATAAGGTTGCGACCTTAAACAATCCAATTAAGGCGCACCTCCAAATTTTATCATAACATGTATTTTTGGGGTAAAAAATTCTTAGGATTATCTGAAAATCTATTTTCATACCTAATTATGAAATTTTAAACTCCAAAAATGGTTAAAATCAAGTAGATCTATAAACATATGAAAATATTGAAAATGGACGGTCTAGATAATGTGTTGCAAGATGCATTATTTTTGGGACTGAAAATCTTTTTTTATTTTTATTTTTTATCACATTAATACATTTAGATGTCAAGATGATCAATTAGAGGGTTTTTCAGTATTAAAACAACTTTTTCCGATGGATTTTAGGAATACATTTTTAATTCTACATTTTAAGGTTGCAACCTTAAAACTTCTTCCTTATTACAGTTTGCATTCATTGAGGTTTGAGGGTGGGTGCAATTAAAAGACCTGGCGATGATGTAACTGCAATTAAAACGAAACGAGGTTGGGCTCTTTAACGCAATTTGAATTTGGAATGTTAACATCTTAGGGCTTGAAAATCTAGCATTCTTAATTTTAGGTTGGCACTTCAAGAATGTATTCATATTTTTTTGGGTAGGTTGTGATTTGGACGGGTTAGCTTGTTCGGATTTTGGGGACGAACAAAACACGTTGCTTTGCAACTATGGGGTGAAGTCAAATTTGGATGTTGCTTTAGGCCAAAAGTTTGATATGTGGAGAATGGGGTTGAGGTCGTGGTGGCAGCACCATTTCAATTCACCATTGGAGTTCAATTACCGGTCTAGGTTTCTTTTTTTACTCACAAAAGCCGTTAATTATTTCTAAAAATGGATAGGGCCAGTATTCCCCACTAATCAACCCAAAAAAAAAGCGTGATGTGTGCAATTGACAAGGATTCATGAGAGTATGCATGCAATGAAAATTTGAGTCCTTTATTAGTCGTGCATAATCGATTAATTATAAATGGAATAGTTTGCGGTAAAGAAGTGACTCTGGTCGGATGGCTGATGGCTCTAGGATGCAGGGGAAGAGCAGGATTTGATTTTGTTAGCTGGAGCTGTGCTATGATTTGTCAGAAGCAACTTGTAAACTTGCTCCATCCTCCAAAAAGCCTTAGGAGGATTGAAATTTGGAAGTCAGATTTACCTTATGATTAACTTTTTATGAAGAAGTTAGATCTCATATCCAAAAAGTAGGCTGTCTACATTACAATGAACCTGTTGTCAAATTCACTTTGTTTCGGTCGAAGAGGTCAAAGCTTTCGGATTTTAAGCTTAGACCGAAACTTTGTTTCGGTCGAAGAGGTCAAAGCTTTCGGATTTTAAGCTTAGACCGAAACAAAGCGAAGCTTGGTGCTGCCGCGTCGGCCAGCTTAGGGCTGCTTTAATAAGCTTTGGGCCAATTCGGCCAAAGCATAGAAATATTTATATTAAAGTACTTTTTTATTTTAAAATTTTCATTATTATTACATATAAGTATTTAATTTATTTATATTAAATTAAATAAAAATCCGAAATCTTCATTCGAATTTGTCGAAGCATTGAATTGCTTCTTTGTTCTCACCAAGCTGAAGAAGACTCCCAAGCGCATATGACAACATTGCAATGAACTGATTTTAGTTGGAGCCATGAGTTTCAATTTCTTTTCTGTCTTTTTCTTTTCCTGTTTTTTGCTCAACCCCTTCGGGCACCTAAGATACACCTAGGGTTCTGCCCTGGGGAGCAAATGTACAATTTGCTCCCACGAGCTATAGTCTTACCTGTCTCTTTTTGCAGGTGGAGCACTTAATCTTGTGAGTTTGTTTTTGCATAGTGTTTTGTTTTGTTGATAAGCGGGGGTAACCGACATTATTGTTTTTCACTACCAAATGCGTGGAAGGAAAAACTTGCCATATTCCCAAAAACCAGTTCATCTCAATGCGTTAGTAGTGCAAGCAATTTTTTCAAGTGTGAGGTTTGTACAAGGTGTCACCCTTAACAATCCCTCAAAATCTCATTGATACATTTTCAGCGCTGAAACTCTTATAATGGCTTTAAAATCTATTTTTGACCCCTGGGTTGGAACCAGGCCTGGCGCACACTGAATGAGCTTTCAGCTCATTTGGTGTACGTTGGTGCCCTGATTCCAAGAGCATGTACTGTTGAGGGTGCGGGTCAACCCTGCAGATTTGAGATTGCAAACCCAATCCGAGAGGGAATGGCCTAGCCGATCCATGATTACTTATGATGGCTTAAAAATCTATTTTTTACCCTTGTCATGAATTGAAAGCTCCAAAAATAACGTAAATCTAACAAATCTATGAATACTTAATCTTGAAAATAGACTATCTAAATAATATGCTACAAGATTACAATTTTAAGACTTGAAATTTATTGTTTCTTTCATATACATACAAAATCAAAATGATCAATTGGAGGATATTTTAGCACAAAAACAGCCTTTTTTGAAAATCATTTGGGGACAATATAAGGTTGATGTCTTAAATACACTTTTTCCTTGTTTCAGAAGTATGGCCTCACCGTTTGTCAAATGAATAGAACCAAAAGGACGACAAAATGTTTTACCCTAAGAAAGCGAGAGAGAGAGAGAGAGAGAGAGAGAGAGTAGGTAAATAGAATAGAAGTTATAGAAGAAAACAACTAAAATTACTTAGAAACTAGTAAAGTAGGAATGAACAATAGTAATTAACTTTATTTTGTGACAAACATCTCTA